GTAAACCTATTCAATATGTCCTCTCTTTGAAGAATTTTAAATAAAATGAGCAAAATTTGCAACATAACACCATCATCCCAAGTATGTTCGCTATGTTCAGGCCATTTGGCTTTGATGAAGCTTGCACAGATTGTATAAGAGTATAAGAGCATAAGAGTAAATGTGATATTACTAAATTGCGTGTCAGCTAAAGAGAATGTGATAAATGCGTATTTAAAATCAAACCACAGAGTGAGGTCAGTTCTTCATGTCTAACATATAGTGTATCTTACAAAGTGTACAGTCCTCCTCAGTCCTGAGACTACATACTTTAAAAACAAACAGTGTTTTGTTATGAAACATGTTCAATGCTGTATGTTCACTGCATACTAAATAACATAATACATTTTTATTTTATTTCTTTATTTTTTATAGCATTCAGGGTCCAGCATAATCAACGTTTGGACTGAGGCACATGACATTCGAAGAAGGCCTGATGATTTCTGGGAACTAAAAAATGCATGTTTAAAAAAATGCACAAATATGTGTCTGTAATTTTCAGTTAATATTTATTGAACATAATCAACATGTTTGTTGTATTGAACCTCTGCAAGTACTGTAGAAATACTGTTATTTCATTCTGAAATTTTAGCTGAAAACAAATACTTTAAAGTCTTAAAATGATCAATTCAAAAGTATCTGAAAAGAATTTATTTCTCCACAGTATGCAGTCATATGCAAGCTTGAACACCCCCAGTCGAATTCTAAAAGAAAATAACACATCTTTTACATAGAACACACTTAGATATGGCATTTGCTGCTAAGTTTAGAGCATCAAATGTCAATTAATTTGATGAGTTTAACATGTAGTAGTGTTCACTGCTATTAAAAGAGACAGATTTTGCACAAGTCATGCTTTATCTTCCAGCTGTTGCTGGGCACAGCTATGCTGCACATAAGCAGCGTTTCCCTTCTCTAACAGCTCGCTACCCAGCTCATGTCTTACTCACTCTTCTCACACCACTCACGCACACTTCCCCTTGCAATAAATGATATGACCGTATGCTTTTTTTAATGACATACTGAGACATATTCACTTCATTCCTGCCCTGCTGCCATGCCAACTAGCTAGCATTATAATTTTTAACTTTTTTATGATTGTACAACAGCAGGAGAAACACTTAAGAGAACATTTTATAAATTGCAGCACATAAAGAGTGCTTGGACGAGCATGAAGTGCTGTTGATGGTGGTCATGGTCAAAATCAAGCACAAAATAAAAGACACAAACATATTCTTCCATTTACAGGTGGGTATATGCCAAATCAGTTCTCTACATTAGTGTCTACTACAGACTGGCTGCAGTACTAACACTCTTTATCTCTTCATCATGAATGGGTAGGCTAAACTGCTGTATGGGCAGTCACACATCACTATGAAAAAGTTTTAGGCATTTGAGAAAATTATGTTTAAAAAGCTATTTGTTTGGACAGTAAGCACTGTCACTGGACCGAAAAACACAGTAGTACAGGCATAATACACAAATACATACAAATAATATGAATACAGTAAGTATTGATTTTACATAGCCTAGGTCAATATGTTTGTTTAATCATTTGTAACCCTCTCTCATAGCTGCTCAGATTTATTTGAAAAATCATCCAATGCTTAATCAATGCTTCATTATGCTCAATGAGGTGTGCTGGTAATGGAATTTAACAAATCCATGCAATGGCTGGGAGTGTCGCGGAGACACACACGCACAGGACCACTTGTCCTCTTCGGTCGAAGTAGGGGTGGGGGGGTGGGGGGGGGATGTGCTGGAGCCTATTCCAGAAGGCTGGAGCCTATTCCAGCAGTCATTGGGCAGAAGATAGGAAACACCCCGGACAAGTCGCCAGTCCATCACAGGACAGACTCACAGACATATACATATGCAATTTAGCAGCTTCAGTTCGCCTGACTGCATGTCTTTGCATGTCTATTTTAATGATACATGGTGTTTTTTTACATGTAAAAACATACTTACTGCTGGTTTGTACAATGTGCTTAGGTACCTAATACCTTTGCACAGTGCAGTATGCAAATGTGTTCATGGTTGTGACATCACAACTGGGATGAATTCCAAACGGGTTGGGTTTGCAACTTCACTTTCATATATTAAACGTGTAGACTGGAGAGTGAATGGTATGTTTTGAAACTAACAATGTTACAGAGTACATCAAACACCTTCATTCCAGAAAGGTCAGAAACCCCTTTCCATGGCCCATGAGCAGTTTAATTCTTAGTGAGGCTGATTTTAATGTCATAAAAAAGGCCACAGTAAAAGACTCACTGTTCAAGCAGCTGGAAAAATTGCCCTCAGTAAACAATAATTTGCAGTCAAGCCACTGTATTGGAAACAAACATGGAAAAACAAGAAAAGAAAAAAAAACATGCTTCACATTTTGAGATAAATAAGCCTATTATTTACTCAACTGTAGGTTGCCTCAGTTATCTTGAAAGGGAATGTAGAACTCTCTGATTGGGGTCACGTCATGCCCCTAATGAGAGAATTTAACATTTCCGTATTTGTAGAGTTAAAATAATTAATTAGAAGCAATTTTGTCAATAAACTCACAATTACAGCATAGCACAACTGTAACCTAAATACACAGTTTACTGTATTTTTCCATTGACAGATATTAACTGTACTGTTGTTACAGTAAGGCATTGTTTATATACAGTACTGTGACTTCTTTTCCAAATAATACTTTGATTTGGAGCTGTCAAACGTTTAAAATAACTAATTGTGATTAATCACGTTCTTTAGTGTAATCACAGTAGATCAATCACAATAGTTTTATCAGCTCAAATTCGATGCTAAAGAAAGATTTATTTCAAAAGCAGTGCATTTTGTCGTAGCTATAAGTGGACAAACAGCGGAAAAAATAACCTTCAGCAGAATGTGCTTATTACTTTCAATAACGTTACATCCACAATGTTATTGTCCAGCACTGCTGCATTTGAAAAATAATGGTAAAAATAGGAAACAAACTAGGAAATTGCATTAAAAGTGATTAAAAAATTATGGTGTTAATAAATGATCCTGTTTTTGGCAGGACTTTGACAGCACTGCTTTTATTACATAATACAGTACTCAACCTTACTGCTAACAAAGGTTTCAGGGAAATGTTAGATATGGTTGTATTTCAGCAAATTATAACTATTTTAAGCCAACAGTGTGATCACGCTGTTTGCAAACACACTTTATACACAACATTATAACAATTAAATCCACTTAGACTGGTCTTCAGGATCCCAGAGCTGGCAGTAACCCAATGTTTTAATGTGGCACTATGTTAACTGACACAAAATACACCATCTTGGTTAGAATAGCAAAACATATAAAACGCATTCAAACATATCTTTAGAGTTAGAATAGCATGCTAAAACAAACAAAAACACCTCAAATATGTCTTACACATGAAGCCTTACGTGTATTTCCCAGAATGCACAAATTTTGCAGGATTTCTGCTGTTTCCTGTTGTGCAGGGCAGTATGCAGTTTTGGACGCAGCACAAGTCAGTTTAATGATGTGTAGAAAGCTGATTTAGCCAGCAGAGGGCGCAGCAGATTGGTAACGATTTTGGGAGCTTTTTAATCATTGCTAAATACAAATTGAGCCATTTTGGTAACTTCGCTATCCTGATGTTGGCTCACACTCACTGTTTCTAGTCCTGTGACTGTCGTGAGACACACGCACGCACTCAGACTCACTTCTCCCCATCGCTGACCCTGAGCTGCAGGCTATTTTGAAAATGTCTTGGGACTGGACTGAGCTAGATAAGGACATGGTCCGCGCTTAAGCTCACACCACTCTGGTGGAGATTGAGAAATACACGTATGGAGACATTCCTCACCACACCCTGCCTTCAGACTTTTATATGAAAAACCACCACACAAAAAAGCCACAAGCAAAAATGAATGTAATATTTTTACCCTTTTGAAAGTTAAGACTGATTCCTGTTTGCAGTCCCACAGTAAAGAGACGCTGCCAATATCTCTGGCCTTAACTGCAGTTGGTTAGCAATTAGTTAGCTTAGAATCACTGATGGCTGCTGTTTGCAAAAGCGGAGCCTCTAACATGTTATCTTTAACATAGCACTCTGAATGACATTCCCAGATAAAGCGTTATCATTCACTCACTGGTCCCTTCAGATAATTTTTAACCGAAAACATCCTCATGTGAAAGTGTGAGTACAATCGGACAAAAACACTTACAGCCTACTAAATGTACTAAACACACTGCTGTAAACTAGAAAAATATTAATGAATTAAGGATCCTATTGGTTTAACAGGTGAACAGTGGCTGATTCTAAATGCATTTAATGGTTTCCTAATGGGAATCTAAAGGTGTTTTATAGGAAACTGGTGGTCTGTGTTGGAAACCGTTAAGCCAATTTTCATTAGAAAGCAAAAACATTAGGTTTTAATCCTAATGGTTTGTAATGGGCCTTTTTCAAGCAGGGTTCCCAGATAGTAGACAGTTTTGGGTTAATTCTGGCTTTCCTATGTGAGTGTTGGTTGACTACTGGGAAGATGTTAGGCATGTGGGCCAGAACAGGGCCAGATCCTGGACAGCTTCATACCGTTTCGCCTTGTTTCTACATTTGTGGGACAATTCTGGTGTGAATATTGTGAACTAACAATGTAGTTGGGCCATATCCTTTAGTTCTACTCACTTTACAGTGTGTGGACCAGATCTGGGCCGAGGACCCAGCCGCATACTGGGCCTGATCAAACCAGGGATGTGACCCACAGGTGAGCCAGACAAATTTTGCTAAATGGGTAGTAGTAGCTCGATCACTGGACCTGTGACCACATAAATACTAGAGTGTATAATAGGGAAGACCACACGTGCAGCTGCTGCTAAACCACTATAAAAATCCACAGTGTCTACAGTATTAGTCTTGTACAGAGACAAGCTGGCCATGCAGAACTTCAGCTCTCCAGCTCGGACTGAGGCTGCGCCAGTAGAGTGTGGTTTACGGTAAGGCCTTGAAAAAAAAGGAAATTTCAGAGCGCGCTGGCTCCACACACACGGTCTGAAGACCTACGCGTACAGGAGATGCTCGTAGGCTGTTAGGTGGGTTGTAGTGTTGGGCTTTATCTGCCCCTGAGCATGTTCACACACGTCCCAATTGGCGGGCTGTGAGACTCCGGGGTGAAGGGTCGAGTCTGTGGCTGCTTCTCTCTCTGCTCTGCTCGAAGACGGCAGGCAAGCTGTAGTTTCGCAAGAGGACAGATTGAGATTTTTTCTACTGCGAACTGGACTGTCGTCTATCCGGTTAAGCTGCACGAGCTGTTTGTGGGGGGAATTTGCATTATTTCCGGCGGCGTTTCTGTCATTTTTCACACATGCTCGACAGCACAGACCTTACCGTAGCATAATCTTAAAGTAGCTAGCTAGCAGTGGGCGCATCGTTTTTTTCGTAGCCGCACGGCTTTGAAGGGGGCCAGTAACTGAAGAAAAATCACCACGCTCGGATAAAATGACCATGTCGGTCCCAGAGAGGATATCGGAGTCCGGAGGAAAAGAGGAGGAGAGCGAGGACGAGAGCGAGATCCTGGAGGAGAGCCCGTGTGGCCGCTGGCAGAAGCGAAAGGAGCAGGTAGGTTTGGGCTCTGTTGGCTGGGATTTGCAGCAACGCCATGAGGGACAGACATACAGACAGACAAGAGGATTTTCAATCCCCGTTTGCAATGATGATGTGATTACATGTAGATGTACAAGACAGACTGTAATGGTGACCTGTGTGAGTGGCTGTTAGACTGGACTGCATTAGTCACCATTAAAAAGAGCAGCGTTGTGCTGCATGGCTGCATGTTGCAGCTGGTAAAATGACTGTATTTACTTACGACACATGTGAAATCACTCCGAGCAGAGCAACAAAACAGGGAAAAAAAGATGGCCTGATTGCTTGAAACCACGCATTTTACAGATATTTCACAAAACCAACAGTCTAACAAAATCCTAGTCTATTTATTAGCCTTAACTGTGATTGGCTGTGCTTGTTGTTTATGAGTGGTACAAACTGTTCGCCCCGCCCACAGCACGCGCACGAACGACACACGACCGAGATGTGTTTGAATTCCCGCAGTTTTAATGTTGGGTTTCTACTTCATGAATGAGCCACACATTCACTGCACTTTTCAGTTTTCGTTGGGTTTGTGAGTGAGATAACATGGGCGTGGGGGTTTGTGTCAGTGGGAGTTCACTTGGAGACATGTAGCCCTGTAGCCCAGCCTGCCTGACGGTGCTGCTGGCCTTTACTCGGAGATAAGAGGGAGCAAAGCTACTAAAATCTTATCTACTGGCACCCGTTCACATCTGAAGTAAACACAGACCTCTTACTCTCCTGTGGCTCAGAAAACAGGAATAAAAGCAGTGTTAACACCTGCAGTGCTGAAGTAGCACCTACACTGCTAAGATGATTCCTAAAGTGTTGAAGACACCTACAGTGTTGAAGTAACACCTACGCTGCAGAGGTAACTCCTACAGTGGTGAAGTAACTCCTATAGTGTTGAAGTAACACCTATACTGTGGAGGTAACTCTTACAGTGGTGAAGTAACTCATACAGTATTGAAGTAGCACCTACACTGCTGATGTAAATTGTGCAGTAGTGAAGTAACTCCTGCAGTGCTGAAGTAGCACCTACACTGCTGAGGTAACTCCTGCAGTGCTGAAGCAGCACCTACACTGCTGAGGTAACTCCTACAGTGTTGGTAGCACCTACACTGCTGAGATCTCCTAAACTGCTGAGATATTTCCTACAGTGTTTCAAGTAGCATACATCCTTTGAAATACCTTCAGTGTTAGGTTAGGGTAATGCCGAAGTAACTCCTGCAGTGTTTGAGGTTGCACCTATACTGCTGAAGTAACTCCTACAGTGCTGAAATATCATCACCTTTTTTCATGGGCAGTAAAGAACAATGCATTAGTTAATTTGACAACATGGAAATAATTTCAACACGTGAGGAGTAAATTCAGCACTGGACGTTTTGCTATGAAAATTCCTGACTAAGAAGTCAGTTAAGTTTAAAGTATGATTACACTAACACTGATGGCAGTCATTTCAAATGTTTTTTACAAATCACATAAAATCAGCACTGCTGTTTTGTTCAGGGTAGTGTGTTTTTTCACTAGTTGAACATTGTAAGACTAATGAACACTCTCAGAGTAAATTCCACACTGTAACAGTGAATTCTACACTCGAAGAGTAAATTGAACACTGGGTGTTTTGCTGGGGGCATTCACTGACCGTTAGAAGACAGCCATGCATGACTAAACTGCTGCCACTGATCAAGGCAATTGTAACAACAGTTTTGTACATCATCTTTAGAAAATTGGTCCTGATGTGTAATGTGTTGTTCCGTTTTGTTATGCTAAGGCCTCTTGGCGCAAGTGATGGTCTCCCATGACTCCTCACCATAAGCAGCCGTGAGGACCTATAATTAGAGTAGAAGCGCAGGAGAGCGTGGAGCACAACAGTTTAATGATTTCCTCCTTATAAACAAGCCGTGGGAGTGAAAGAGTGGTGTTACTGTGCATGGCAGAGGGCCACGTGTGGGGCCAGAGTTAGATACACACTTGCATGGTGAAAGCCACGTTTGTTCACGTTTCGGCCTCTACAGACTGTATTACTTGTTTTTCTTTGAACAAGCATGATTGAGTCCCTCTGCTCTACACATGCTCTAGTCTTGTCCCTACAGATTAGCGTTTCCCAGCGCAGTGCTGGAGGCCCACCTGCTTCTTCACAGTTTTCTGCATTTCTTGCTATAATCCATTTGATACAGCTCAAGAAGTAGCTAATCAAATAACTAATAAATAATAATAATAAATAATAAATAGCAATAGGATGATATTGTGATAAATTGTCATGATACGTTGTTCTGAGTCTATCAGAAGCGTCAGCACTTCTAGAACATGGAGAACCTGCATGTGTCATGAAAAACAGATTTAAACCAGTTATTGAGAGGCTGTGAACAACAGCCGGTGCATATAAACTGCATATTAAACTGGAATTCCACCTATTATTCAGTCATTTGATATATGATATATTTCATATGATGTGGTTCATTCTAAAGAAATTTGTCGGTGCAAAAATAGCTTTTTTATTTACTATAGGAAATGACCGGTGGACCTACATAAAATAAAGGCAAAATAGTGGTAAATCTGAAAAAAAAAAAAAATCTGTTTTTTTTTGTATTATTTTGCCTTACAATGGCCTGCATGTGCTTTTCTGCCAGCAATGTGTTTTTAAAAATAAATGGTCTCAAACCTATTTTAAAACAATGTCTCTGGCATCAGGCAATGTATATAACAATAACTATTTCATGTAGTAGCTTTCTGTAAGGATGATTTTAGAGCCACTCTTCAGACGTCTGGTTCCTGTCACCACCACTGTGAACAGTTCTCAGGTTTCTCTAGAGTGGCACATTTAGCATCAAACTACTCTGAATGGCTTTGTTTGCATCTTAACAAGTTAATTTTTTTACATTTTTTGACAAATCAGTGAAATTCTCATTTAATAACAGCTGACTGAATGTCAACCTATTTCACCAATATGTTATTTTTTCCCCTGTTGTTTGATACAGTATTTTTGCAATCTTGCATAAACAAAAATCATTTAACTCAGTTATTTATACCTTTTTTTAATATGGCGCTTTTGCAGATGCAGTTTGTATGCTCCACCTGATTGGAAATCTCAGAAATACTAAATATTAATGCACATTGTGAAAATGTCTGCAGGTGTCATGCTCTTATATTGTCCATCCATCCTTATAATGACATTTATTGGTCGTGATGAAGTGTGCAGTGCAAATGGACTTCCAGGACTGGTGTAGGAAAACATTGCTGTGCCTGATAACCGAGTGTAATCCAAAGGTTTGGCTGGGCATTAAATTGCAGATTGTTAGCGTTTACATAGAGGCACACTGAGCTGCTGTATCATCCACAGCATCAAAGTGCTCAGCAAACATTGCATTTGATTTATATGCAAGCCTCTTGAGGTAGCTCATTTGACTGTAGACCTGTGTCGCGGTACAAACCACCTCAGCAGGGCTTTTGCCTTGATGTAATGTATGTTTGTCTTTGCCTGAGCTGATATAAGATCCCTAGGCAGTTTTACTGTGTTGGGTTAGCACAAAGCACCTAAGTGTGAATGAAACTCAGGGTTGTGAAAATTGCCTTAGCACGCCCACGAAAGGACGATACCATCTCTTGAAGGTCCAGGGTTATTTTTTTTGCATCATGTCTATGGAGATACTACAGCTAGTGGGCTGTATTTTACAGTAAACCCAGACCTGTCAGGCCTCAGTGAGTGATTCGCTGTTTTGTGTCCCACTGTGATATGTAGGGACCCCATGATGTAGTTCACCTTTCTGGGTCACACTGTAATTAACCTCGCTCAGGATTCACATGAGACAACAACGGCGGCAGCGGCTGGCTCCTCCAGACTGCGCAGCACTGTTGGATACAAGGCTGCAGAATGGATCCATTATGGGAGCCTACAGTAAGCGCAGCCAACTTGGCAGTGGTGTTAAAAATGGGCCCTCTCTTATGTAATACTTTCCACCTTTTTAGCTGTTTTTGCTAAGAATCTGACCAGTGTTTGTTGAATGTTCAAAAACATATCAGACCCACACTGTGTACATTTGATCATTTTGTCTATGGGGCATTTAAAGGAACACTATGCAACATACCTTTGTTCATTTTTATAGATAACAGTCAAACAATAAGAGAAACCATATAAGCAAGTCTGTTTCAGATTACTTAAACTCAACATGGCAACTTTGTGATGATTTAGACATGCAGTTTGCAGTGCGCAATCAGTGGGACGTAAGCTTCCATTACTTGTTAGTTGCATTAGCCTCACAGCTTCAGTTGAAAACTGAAGACATGAACTTAATATACTAAACCTCAAGGATGCACCAGATCCTTTTTATAGCCAATTCTCATTCCTTTGGCAGATTTTGTTTTGAGATTTTTATTTATTTTGTATTCTTTTTTTACCCAAAGCTCACAGTGCACAGGCTAAATGAACACCTGAAACACATTAGCACATTTCCAGTCATTTATATTAGCCAGAGTCTCAGTATAAATACCATTATTTGCTCTTTAGAAGGCCAAACTGGCTTTTTAAATTCAATTGTCTGTTTAAATAACATGAATCAAAAAAGTGCTACATTAAAAGTAGAAGGGAATGAGTAATGCATAATTATGCTGTGACTTTTTGGTATAGATTATAGGCACATCCAAATACAGTGCACTTACCTGCCTCATGTTATTTACGTTATAAAACTGCAGCACAGATTGACAAAATCAAAATGATAAATTGGCTGATTGGCGACTGCATGTTTGGAGCAGAAATCTGCCAGTCGTGCAACCTATAAATCGGGTCTTGGGCGATAAATTACACTTGCATAGGAAATGTACTGACCTCTCAACATAAACAAAATCCAGTTTTAGGCTGATGATTAATTGCCATATAAATAATTGTGTTGAACAATTTATTTGTCTTTTTTTTATTCATTGTATTGAAGTACAAGCCTCAAGTGTCCAGAGTGGCTGATTAGCTTGTGCTTGCTTCGAAGCTATTGCTACTTGGT